TTCTATTCCTATACAGATACACCCTATCCACTTCCATAAATGACAAGATTATGACCAGCCCAAGATCCAAGTCCACAAACTCAAAGTAAGAGTTATCAGGAGGTTTTCAGAGAATCATAACAGCTGAAGGATAGGGCCTGTCCATATCAGCCATTTGTAAAACTGCCTACCACGTGGGTCCAGTGATCTAAGACAAAATCAGCATCGCTCATTAGAGATGAGTTCAAATCCTGTTTGCACTGTGGGTATCCTAGTTCACAATCCACCTGAGTGGGTTTTACCATCTAAAGCAGAACGTATCAGGGGCAGAGAGACAATGATGCTGTGTGTGATTTCAGCTCGGGCATACCGTAGACAGTCAGCTGGACTTTCCGTGTGGCGTATCCAGCAGCATTTGTTGCAGTGCACACATATTCCCCAGTCTCTTCACCCCCTGGTGAAACTACATACAGACTTCCATCAGACCCTGCAGAAAATTTCATATTGCTGGAAAGAATTACTTCTCCTTTCTGTGGAAAGAGAAAGAAAAAAAAAGCCCCCACCATTTCCATTTTCTAAAATAAACCAAATTGCAGTAATTTAATTCAATAAAAGGTAAAACTCACAGCAATAAAATAAAATCTAACAAAAACATTAGAACTATTGAAGAGATACAAAAACTTTTAGTGACTATAGCATCTCTCCTAGCTTACCGTATTGCTATGACCGATTCTTCAGATGAAGAACACTGTATTTTTAATGTAACACTGGCTCTCATCTTTTTACCACACAATATGCTTCAAGCTCTTTAATGCAGTTCTGTAGATAAAACAATTTCCAGGCAGTCTGACTAAATTAAGCAATATTTTAATTTACATTGCAGTGCTGCTTCTGTTGTTTATGGCTGAGATGGACAAAATATTTTGTATTAACTAAGAAGGCTGGCCCCAAAATTCCATCCATACAAATTAACTATCTTCACCTAACTTTTCACACTCTTCAAGCGTCACTGGATAAGGAGTAAGAGCAGAACCACAGGGATTCTTAGGCAGAAAACGTGTTACATTTTACAGACCCCAATTCAGAAAAAAAAAAAAAAAGTTAAAAAATCAATACTTCATCTGAGTGAATTTTAACATTGATTTCTGATGTCAAAACAGATCTTGTATACATTATATGAAATGTTTCTTAGTCAGTAGACTCGTTCTTTTCTGTATTTAATGTTACATGTTTAACTCCTCCTGAGCCTTCCTCCCTCCCAAGTCAACAATTAACTGTGTTCTACTCCTCCTCTTAAACAGAGCTGTTCACAAGGTGCCAGTCAGTTACAACTGCACAACCGATGAGGCACAACAGTGCCTTCACAGCAACATCATGCAAGCTGTAACATACCCTGAATAACTGTTATTAGCAGAAACTACGCAGTTCAAGTAAGGAGAGGGCTGGGGGGGAAGCCTGACTTTCAGACAAATGCCCAAAAAGGCTGAGGTCAAGCTCAGTGGACATTTTGTTGTGGACATGACTGAAAAGTGAGAGATGCTTAAGCCTAGAACGCCATTATTAGATACACTTTCAACCTTTGGCAGGTTGCTTAATCTCAAATTGTCAACTCACAACAGGAATATGAAGAATTTCTAAAGTGTTAAAAACAAAGATACAGCAACAACCAAAGCCCTTCGAAAGAACAGAACATGGATCCACGGCTGGACCATGGCCAGAAAGCACTGCCCTGCGAGACAAAAGCAGACACAAACAGATTTCCAGGCCCCTCACAACTGAGGCTTTTGGCTGTGCTTCTTGCATATAATTTTTATGGAAACTAAAAGATGTGTTCAATTCATCTTCCACCATGAACAGCTCAAAGATGAGAAATTACCTTGGACCAGACAATAGATGGCTTAGGAATTCCACTTGCTTTGCATGGCAATGTTACTGGGATTCCTTCAATGGTGCTGAATATCTGCTGTCCATGCTGAATAACAGGCAGAACTAAAAACAAACCAAGTGTTAAACACATACAGAAGACAGATTTCAAACCACAGCACAACCCTTACAATAAAATCCTTCTATTCAATTTTTAGGAATTGAGCCCTAACGTTGACAAAGAGCAGCCACTTTCTCCTCCACTCTTTAGTCCTCCATGACAGAAGAAATACTTGTTCATGACAACGCATATCAGCCATAGGTTAGTGGAGGAAAAAACACACTTTACAAAGTAGCACTGTTACAAAAGAGAAACTTGAGAAATCAATATAACAAAAAGAGTTCTAGTGAGAGCTCCTGTTCCTACGAAATGCACGCTCACCCTGCATTCAGCACAAAGCCAACAGGGCAGTGTTTCTTACCATGCACATGAACAGCAGTAGTTCTGTTGCTTGTCCCAGCTACATTGCTTGCCATGCAGGTGTAATCGCCACCATCCTGCAGCCGAACTCTTTCAAGGTGCAGGCTTCCATCGCTGCGAACATTAACGTAGGGGTTGGGAACCAGCTGCCAAAAGAGCGATGTAACGTCTTACTGAAGAGAACATTTCTTGGTGAGATCTACTTCAGGATGTAGCACAGCTTTACTTGACTATTTAACATTCTCAAAAATTGTATGCTCCTGGAGAATTTTACGAGAGCTTTTCCTACCTCCCTTCTCTCATAACAAGCTGATTTTAAATCAGGATTTCAGTAGCACCTCACAATTACTGCTGGAATGCGATTAAGACCTGCAATGGCAACGCTGCCCCGCCACAGCACAGACAGAAGTGCCCCTCATGCTTGTAATCACGCACTGAGGCAAAACCAAACTTAGTTGAATTATTTTACTGTATTTTTAATTGGTTATTCCAGTAACCCAATTTGATCACAGATCAACTGTGCAATGACTTGCTCTGCTTCCAGAAACAGATTCTCTTTTTTTTAGCAATCAAAACCTTCTAACTTGCCATATTCATCAAGTAGAAGAGATCATCTCTGAAGCATACCAGTGTGAAAGGTAAGAAAGGACAAAATTTTCACAGAAGACTACATTTTAAAAAGTTACATACCCTGCAGCAAAAAAATCTCAATGAGCTCAGCAACACAGACTTGTCTCACAGAAAGGCTGTTAGAATGCAGAACTGTTCCAGTCATGCTGGGCTCACAAAAAGCTGCATTCTTCTCTAAATACAACTTGCTCCAACACTTTCCTCAGAGTGTAGCTGTTGCTGCACGTTTCCAATTACAGGAACCTAGCACTACTACACAGAGGAATTAGCAACTCAGCAAGGAGGATCCTGCCAGTATTTCTCACAGAAGTCACAGCCTGTGGTACTTGCACTTACACAGCCTCAAGAACAGCCCAGTGATTCCCAGCGATTCAAAAACTGAACAGAAAGCTCTAGCAAGCGAAGAGTCAGGCAGTGCCACGGTTCTGCTTGGTGACAATAAAAAAAATATAAACTTGCTCTCATTTTTTAATTTCAGCTTTAGAGAAAGGTCTTTAGGGAGAAACTACCAAGCTTCATAGGGATGCTGAAGTCAGTAATTTGGCTGCCACTAAAGAAATGACACTTCACTCAGGCATCTAACCTAGATGCAGTGTCCACACCACCTTTCTCTCTGCAGGAGATATAAAGTGGCACTGGCATGCCCTCAAGGGGGAAAGACAACACACTCTTCCACGCTCTGAGCAGTGCCCCAGTAGGAAAGGGGTGTATAGTGCTGGCATTTATCTCATCCCATCAGGAACAGTAAAAGTCATGATGTTAAAAAACCCTAAAGCTACAGAAATTTTATGGTAACTTTATTTTTAACAAATAAGAAAAAAGAAATGCTTTTCAGTTACCAGGCTTTAAATTCCAGCACATCTGTCATTCTGGTAGGTATATTCCATTAGCATGCTTATTTTCAGAGCCCAAGGCTGAAACTCAAAAGCCAACCAGAATGCATTAAAAAAAGCTTTCAAAATTAAACAGAAGATAAAAGGACAATTCACAAATACTTTTGTTCCAGGTTCTTTTCTAGACCTTCACATCCCCCACTACCATCTCTTATTGCCTCAACTCTCCTTCAGAGTTAGGAATTCCCTAGCACGGGCAGTGATCAGTGAGGCATCATCATCAGGGTGCCACACGCTTCCACCTCCGTACTTTGAACAGCAACGAGCCATCATTCCCCAGGGTAGTGACCATACTCAGAACAGCAGTGCCTGCAGAAACTCAGCAGCAGCTACTGCCTTACAGAAACAGCCTCTGGATCCTCCTGAGGAGGCAGCAGCTCCAGCTGGGTGGTGGCTGGCTGCTGCAATTCACCCCAATGACGCTGGATCCTTGTCCCCAGTGAGCCAGTTCAACCTCAGGAAGCATCTTCACATGTAAGCATAAAACCTATCAGTGCATTACTACATCGACTTTCATAAATTAAACCAAGTTGTTATCATGGCTTGAGGTGTCACCTCTAGATTTTTCCCTGCCTGTAAGTCTCACAGGAAACAAGACAGTCTTACCACCATACTGTTTTTAATCCACCTCCGGTCTGGAATGGGATTTCCAGCAAGCAGTACACATGGCAGAGTCAGCTGCTGCCCCTCAATGACATTAGCTGTGGCTGGACTTACTCCAATCAGAGGTGTAACTTGAACAAAAGAAAGAATTAGAAGAAATTATGAGGAATTTTTATATAACAAAGTATTAAATTTAAATTTTTAATATTAGTCCTGTCACTAATGCTACTTGCAGCAGCATCAGACAAAGGTCTCCTTGTGCAAGGTACTGTACAAAATATAGAGCAAGAAATATCTCTTACAATGAAAGCTATATGATTTAAATAGAAAGGAAAAAACAGGGTAAGAAGAAAACACAGCCATCACCAAACTGCATGGAAGTTCCAACGTCCGTAATTTATACAATAAAAATAGCAGAAGGAGTTCTGGTATCTGAAATGTCAATGCAGGCTGGGGAAAAAACACCCAACACCCACAGCAAAACAATGAAGGCGTGGGGGGTAGCATGGGAGAGGAAAGGAAGCTGGAGGAACACATGGACAAGGATCCTAGGATTGCAGAACAGCAGCAAATGGAAGACGGTGTCCAGCTGAAATCGGATCCGACCCAGCACTCCCTGAAAATGTATGTTCCTCTGGATAACAAGTTGATACATTATCTTTCCTTACATGGGCAAGGTCCCTAATACCAAGGAACAAAACTATCAGTTTGGTGAGGACAAAAAATAAGTGATAACTTCATTTGGGCATAAAAATTTAAAGGATTAGAATAGAAGTCAACAGCCCAGCAGAAAATTCCTAATGCTCTGTAAAGAGCCAACAGAAAGCACATGCTTTGTAAATTAATTTTAAAAAATGAGGATTAAACAACACTTTTAAATAGATAAAAGCATGTTGTCTATCAAATACTACTAGCATTACAGATTCCCACCACATGTTTTAAGTTAATAAACAGTTTCCTTGATGGCAGATGGACTCCATTCTTATCCTCTTGCAAATACATACATTCCACCACACTACTTTTCCTTTTATTGCCAACTGTCCAACTGAGATAATAAACAACTCCTTAATAGCACAGCTCTTGTCAAAGCTAGACATTTACTGTCATCTTGCATCGCTAATATTCCTCTCAGCTATATCAAAACACTGTCTTGCAAGCAAGTTCATCACTGCTTTTTCTTTTTTTTCAGTTAAAGATAAATTAAATGGCAGAAAGCCCATTGCGACCATTCATCATTACGGTGATTTTTCATTCCTTAATACATTTACTTAGGACTGAGAAACAGGAGAGACGATAAATCACTTTTTAAGGTCCACGTTATAAAGTGTAGATGTAACCAATTCCCACTATTGTAGCCAGCTAAAAGACAATGCTCCATCGTGCAGAATTCACTGAAATCAATCACAGCATTCCACCCTAATGTCTTCTGAGCCAGTTTGTGTGGATGACTACATATGCATAAATACAGCTACAGATAAAAGCATACAGATATGTCATAACCACAGCCATCCTGTGTGTTGAACAAACACCACTGACTATTGCCTCCTGCCCTGTGCTCCAGGTACTGCAATGGTGTTAAGTCCTTGCTTCCACTGCCGTCACTGACGTTAACCAGTCTTACCCAGTCCTGTTACTGTGACCATGGCTGGCCGGGACTGAATCCTTCCAAACTGGTTCTCAGCTTCACAGACATAAGTTCCTTCATCACTGACCCACAAACCTAGAGGAAAGGAGGAAAAAAGAGACCAGATTGCAGCCTGTGAAGTGATATTGGAAAGTCTGCAATACATGGATACTCTTATCGTTTTCTTCTTCAGTTTCAAACAGTCAGTTTTGGCCAGCTCATGAACTGCATGTCAAAGGCAATGAAATCAGTGTCAGAAATGCAATCTTGGATAAAAAATTCAGTCTTTTTACAAAGTTAACAATTTTATAAAGTAGTATAGTAACTCAAATCCAACGCATATGTCACATTTCCTTCTGGAATATTTTTCTTTTTGAAGTTCAGTCTACCTACTATTGATAGACAGAGCTCCTGTTCTGAGCTGACTGATGGAACTAACTGCGAATGGTCTTGAGAAAAGGGAAGCACCATTCAGCCGCCTCCATTTAACCTTTGGTTCTGGGTAACCCTGCACATAGCACGGCAGTGTGATGTTTGAGCCTATATCCGCAGATTCATCGCTGGGTTCCTGCGTGAAAACTGGGGGAGCTGAGGGAAGAGAGAAAAAAAAAGAGAGAGAAAAATCAAGTACATAGAACATGAACTGGAGTTGCAACATGCCATTAGCATTCTTTTTATACCATTTATGACCTAAATTTATGTCCCATTATGTAAAATGCACTGACCAAGATGTGAAGTGTCAGGCCACAAGCAGTTAGAAAGAATTAGAAAAAGAGCAGAGGAAGGGCTGAGTTGCAATAACCTCACATAGTAACTTAAGTTAGCATAATACATGCTCTACTCGAGAACTATGTTAGGCTGAGGTTTGAAGAGTTTCCACCTCCTCTGCCTCTCTCTTCCTCATAACTTTTATCCTTTGCAAGGGAAGTAAGAGTGAAGGAAATTTGGGAGTCCAAACAGGGCAAGGAATCAGCTTAGTGACCACCAAAAAGGTGCTCCCAGCACACACACAGACTTACATGTGTTTGTGAGAAAGGTTCAGATAACCCAGGCTCCACTGATCAGATAGGGAAACACTGAAACCAGAGTATTTACTGTCTAGATTGCAAGCTACTTACAGCCAACATCAAGAGTTATCTTCCCAGAAGCTCTCCCTGCATAATTGGTAGCTACACAGGTATAGTCACCAGCATCCAGATCTTGTGTTTCCTGGATCTTCAGAAGACCCCGATGAGTATCAATAATGAGAAATGCTGATGCCCTCAACTCTAAGTCACCTAAGTTCAGATGAAAAAAAAAAAGGTAACTGAAATAAAACAGGGGATTTACCAAAATTATTCCAACAAAACAGTGTCCAAGTTTGAGATTAGTTTACAATGTGCCTGTATTCATTTAGCAGATGAGTACTTCGACTTCAACTCAACTGAGTCGAAAATTCATCACTACGTTAGATACAATGCCTGTTCATTTATTTGTTTCATGAGGGGAACACAAGCCCAAGTAGCTTTGGACAGAGACCAGCGTTAGGACAGTGCGCCAGGCTCTATTTCTTCTTCCCAAGTTAGAGACTATGTGTGGCAGTCACTTGTCTGCCAGCTCTGCACAGCCTAGAAAACAGCTCTGCTACTTCTCAAGCTCAGCAGAAGCCACAATACTGATGTGTAACATTCAGAATTGGCCCACACATACTCCTTGGGATGAGTGTCAAAGCCTGCTTGAAAATAAAACAATTAAAATAAAGTCAAGCATTAACTTAAAGTTATGCTTAAAGTAGTCTCCTTTAAGGGAAGGTTATTTGCAAATGGACCAGAACAGGGTTGGTTCTTCTCTCCAGCCACTGTCAGAGATGAAGGCCTGCACCAGACAAGGTACCTGTTGGTGACAGCTACCAAACAAGATTACTGGTTTTCAGAAAATCAGCAGGCAGGTGGCTTACACAACCACACATAGGTGCCAGCTGCTTCCGCTGAGAATAAATGTCCAGGCTTGAGACCTGAGATTCTCTGACTCCCATTTAACTCTGCAAACTCCTGCAGCTACGATAGCAAACATCCTGCCTCACTACTTCAGAAACTGTAGCAGATACCTCTGAGATTCAGAAGGAACAAATACAACCCCCTAGGTGTTGCAAAGGAATTTGAGCAAGCACCCAATGGGGAAAAACAGAAAAATGTTTTGCCATTTTTGTAGCATAGAGCTAAACATTTTCTGACCAAAAATGAACATTTTTTAAGTAGGCAAGAGGTTCTGCTTCTTATCAGTGATGTTACCCTAGGTTCATCCATTGCATTTAAACAAGAGGAAGAATTTATGGTCTAACAGTCAAATGCCGTATCTTCTAGATTTAGAATATTTCTAAGGATGAATACTACATAAAGCTTCTGAGAAAATGAAGTAACTTCAGGATCATTGTTCCAAATGTTACTGCTAAAGCAAATAAATCAAACACAAAGTAGTAAGTGCACCTTTAAACCATTTAACTTGAGGACGTGGGATTCCAGTCGTTTTACACTCCATAATAGTTGTGTCTCCAAGAGCAACCAGAATTTCACTTTGAACTATGGTCAATGTTGGGCGCTCTGAAAAGAAACAATACAGAAAAAAAATGAGATCCTCATCCAAAGCATATACCATTTTTAAGACACAAACCCTGAAATACTCTGATTTTAAATTGTTATATGGAGGAATATTTGCATTAAAAGTCAGAAAGCCTTAAAAATCATCTAAGAGTTTGATCACATAGAAAGTAGAAAGATTCAGCCTCTCTCCCACTCCAGCCAGATGCTGGTCATTAAGAATTTTAGTAGCCTGCTATTAACATAGTAACCTAGTGTCCAGAGCACACAATTTGGAGCAGGACTTCACAGTGCTAAGAGCACTACAGGAATTTACAGAAATACGATTTCTTCTCCAACCTAGTCAGGTTTGCAAGCATATTCCTCCTTTAACACCCAATTTGGTTTGTTTTTTTCCTTAAAAACACCATAAGAAGAAACATTAAGCCCCAAATATCACCTAACAATACTACTCGGGTATGAACACAAAACAAAGAGAATACGTGTGAGCTTTTCAACATCTTCTCTGAGCTTTTTGACATTTCTACCAGCATGTTCAGTATTTTACTAATACTGTCCTGTTTTTAACAGCTCCTCCCTAATCATGTTCTAGTTTGCTTTTCAATTTCCCCGCGTTGCTTCTTTTACTTACCAATGTACGTAAGGGTGGATGTCTGCTTCTCTGTCCCAGCTGAGTTACTTGCCAAGCAACCATAAATCCCTGCATCTTCTGGAACTGCCTTTCTTATGATTAAGGTGCCTTCTGGAGTCAGTCTGTACCTGGGAACACACAGGGGACCAACAAAATTGTTAGTTAAAGAAAAATAACTTTGAATAACTGTTACATCCACACTCCAGGCAACAACTGCAGCAGCATGCCCAGCTGGATCATAAACAGGTATTGCTGGTCTTTGCTCATGATAAACAACCATGTAAGTATTATTATATGCACCAGAGAATGTCAATGCATTTTGTGAAGAGCGCTTAACTAATCTTATAAAAAGCTTTCTGAAGAAGAGATCTAAACCGCTTTTATTTTAGAGATGAGGACATTGAAATTAAAGAGTTATAAAGGCAAATGCTGAGGTGCTATCCCCAAAACTCCTTTTCTACGGAAGAAACAGTATTTTGGCAATCTTCAAAAATGTTTTCTCACATAGGGAAAAAAATAATTAAAAAAGAAGAAAAAGAAATGTGCAACACCTACCTGCTTGAACCAATAACAAACATATCATCGTGTGTCCATACTACTGCTGGCTTGGGATAACCTGTTGTGGAGCACCTGATGGACACTTCAGAGCCTTCTGTAAAAGTCTGATTCTTAGGTGAAATGACAACCCTAGGTGGTTCTAGTAAAAGAAATTCAAAACAACAATTAAAACCAACCATTCAGAGAACACAGATTATAATAATAACTTTATTCCCATTTTCAAACAGCTCTGTAGTGAGCAAAGAGTCATAATAAAGGTCAGAGCCAGCTTGTTTCCTCTGATAGTCTATCAGTTCCTCAGCACACAGCGTGCATACCTTTACAGAAGTTATTAAGTCAGGATTCAGGGTACGGAGGCCAAATTAATTCACATGCCTACAGATTTTGCTTTGTTTCGAGATGCAGAATTTGGAGCTCCCAAACGTGGGCACCAATTTTGACAAAAAGCTGCCAGAACCAAGCAAAGTCCACCACCAGGCACTGTCAAGGTGACAAAGCCAGGCTGAAATACGAGTAAGTAGTGCCAGGCCATGGGTTTGAATAGAAACTATGAGAGCATGAGAGGTTTCACATGGATTCAACTTGAACATAACAACTATGTAATAATTAACTCCACATTTTTAACGGATGCTTAGAACTCAGCAAGGTAGCAAGAGAGACAATTTTGACAAATCTGAGTCAAATTTGTGCAGTCTCCTGAAAACGAAAGCCAACAAGCACAAGCCTTCTGGCAGGCCAACAGCAACAACATAACCTGAACGATACAAATAAAGGCCACGATGTGCACACACACACACAGAGGAAGAAATTAATTAATTTCTACACAGTGACAGAACTGCAAACACAGATACCTATAATGACTTATCGTTTCCATTCTTAAATTTTTGTCCATTAATGTTGCCCAAGTTCATTAGTTTTTCACTTGTAGAGTAGATCCAATAAAAAGTTGCAGGGTCCTCAAAAGTTCCTCCTGTGTTTCCAAACTGCTCTGAAACCTCTGAGCTCCCCAAGAAAAGGCACCAGAGGAAGACAAAGCCGAAGTTCCCGAAGCACCAGGATTAAATCCAGATATGAGGGAGCAGGGAAAGATAAGAAATGAGGGCAGGTCTGTAGCTTGCATCCAAGTGATTTACTGTGTGCACAGCTCTCTCAGCTATTTTTGTTTTGTTTTAAATCCTGCCAAGAGACACTAGGAGATATTCCACGTGCTCTGGTCTTCAGGAAGGTCTCTTGTCATGTTGGTATGAGGAAACTGGTTGTCTCAGATTGTAGTAACACATCATGCTTTGGCAACACATCATTGCCCAGGCAGTTCTTCTCATACGATGATATTAACAGGCGAGCAGAAGAAGGTGGAAGAAACAGTTGTATTTAACATATAAGCAATGAAGTTAATTGGAAAAAAGTCAACACACCCAACTGTAGTACCCAAGGTACCAGCTAGAGTCAGTGAGGCCACATTTGCCACTAGTTAGAAGTCTTGTTTTCTGTCTCAAAGGCCAGCAAGCAGGCAGGCACGCAGAACGGGCTTTCCTGGAGAACAGGTCAAATTCATTTCTGTTGCTTCGTTCTTTGTATTATAAGGGAGAAGGTTTGTACATGGGCAAGAGAAGCACAGGCTTCTTACAGTGCCAATTCAAGGCTATAGAATAGTATATTTTAAACAACACAGGTCATGTGTAGAGCTTCTGAGGAGAAAGAAGGTTGGTGTGAAGACTTCAGGGGCTGAAGCAGTCACACTTGTAACCATCCTTGGCCCTAACACTCATTAAAACCATTTGAAACAGTTAAACATAGCATGAAAAGGGGACAGCAAATACCAAATTTTTATTTCACACAAAATAAAACCCACCTCTTACCCTTATCAGTAAAAACCAGAGTTCCTGTCACTGTTATTTACTACTGTCTGCACATTTTTCTTTTTTTAACATAAACTTTTCCCCAAAAGCCACCCTACAGATGGTATTGGACTGAATCATTACTTGTAAAGTATCGGTATTTTTGTGCGGCAGCCTCAAGAGTCTTTCTTGCCTTTTGCAGTAAGAGCACTTTTAGAAAACGGAATGATTCAACCTATTCACCTGATAAGTAATGCGGGAACAAGGCTGAACGGGGCAACCATTTAAACCTATCTCGATCAAAAAACCACCACGATAGGAATGCAACCTCTGAGTTAATGATGGGTCTGAATTGACCTTCCTGGGCTTCAAATACCAAGATACTGCAGGAGCTGATGTGTATCACAAAGCCCTGCTTTTAGGAATCCACAAACTGTAGTGTTGGTGTGAAAATCAATTCTCTTCAGACCAAAGTCCCGCATGACCACAGGGACTCTACCAAGTCTTGTGTTACTGGGAGTTGTGCGCCATAGCGAATGGCTTTAAGATTAAACAGTCTAAAAACTTACATCACGTTAGTGTCAAGAACGCATACTGGGAAGGTGCAGGGAGGAAAAAATACCCAATTTTACTATGAAGACAGCTATCAAACTATGTCAGTAAGGGAGATGGAAGACTGGGGTTATGCAGTTACTGAGGAATTCCTCCCAGAGCAGAGGTTTCCACTTTGATGCCAGGCTAGGCACAGTATTCACATTACGTCCTATGTTATGAAATAACACAAAACACACGTAACCTGTCACTACGTTCTCAACAGGAATCCTCTCCATTCATCTGATTTCTTTTAAGTTTAAACCACATTTTAGCAATATGCATTGGAACTAATATTCAACACAGTATTTTATGCTTTTGTTCACAAGCCAAATGAGAGAAGCATGGAAGAAAAACTGGACATAAACAGAAAACTGCCAGAGGCTCCTGTTTGAATAGCAAGCTGAAAACAGATTTGTTACAGCATAAATAAGATCAAAACATTCAACAGGGGAAAACAAAAAGTAGCCTTCGCCATTAATCAGCCAGTCACATTCATCTGTACTTCTGGCAGCAGCCAAGGGCACTTAATTAAGAAGGAACGCTGTCTTTGGACATGACCATCTTGCTCCTCACACTTGCCAGCCGTTTCACTTAGCTGCCAAGTTCCCACTGAGCTCCTTCCCAGTCCCCCCTCGACCACACAGAAGCAGGGGGTGCACCCTCCTGCATCACTCCTTGCCTGGTGTGACTCTGTGACGCCACCGTGCAACAAGCCACAGCAACATCTGCTTCCATTGCTGCTTACGTGTTGGCTCACATAAAAGATGCACGGCAGCAGCATTCACAGTTGCTTCTGTGAGGCTCTCCACGAAGCTTCCGAGAACAAATTTAACTTTTAGAGGGTGAGAGGGGGAGCATTATTGGGATCTTGTCATTCAGCCAGGGACCATGCACAAGCTGCAATGCCACCAGCACCTACAGCACTCCTTGCTACCACAGGGAAGAACTCGATCTGCTGTAAGAAGCTATGGAGTGTCCATCCCAGCGCTACAGAACTGTGCTGTGAAAGACAGCTGGGGCAGGACCACCCATTTCCTCCCCGTAGTCAAAACACCTACTTCCCAACAGGCATGCAGATATGCACTACAGCCAGTGTCTTCTCACCAAAGCTGTTTTCATAACCTCCCTGCACTTCTTTGTAACTTGGCATTCACCAACCATATGCAGACTTCATCAGAAAAAAATAAGCACACGGTAAGTATTCACCAGCTGCGAACACGAGGCCATAAAGAAAGCATCTGACACCATACAGCCCACATGGCCGGCCCTTTCAGTGACCTCCCTGCAAGAGAAAGACTTGAAGAAGGAAACGGGTTCCTTCCTCCTCGTGTCCCTGTCCTGGGATTGTACTCAGCCCTAGAAGTTACAGACTCAGAAAAAACACTTGGTGAACACCTTACAAATGAATTAAAAAACCAGCACTGACATGCTGAAGAAACATCATCTGGGAAAACCAGCTCTTTACAGAAAGGGAGACAGGGAACTTCAGCCCCTGGCACTTTGTGGGTTCTTCTCCAAGGATGTGTCCCCATCTTCACATGGCAGACAGGTGACTTCACTGAAACGTAGATCAAACTTGTTTATGCCCCTACGCATTGCCCAGGACAGTACGAGGCCCTCCTGGAAGGGTCAGCAATCCAACACCTTTCTTATGGCTACAAGTACAACACTTAATAGTCTCATTAATTACTTCTTTGTGCTTTTTAGTAACTGTTGCAGTAACAGAGATCAAATATCCTGCAAAAGAGGTTAGTTTCTAAAAGATCCACATGGTGTACAGTCTTGAACCCAAGGTCTGGGTAGGTCAGAAGACACCTAGAAGCACTGATTTCTAAACACATTATGATTCTGCTCCTCCAAAAATCCTTTTAGAAACCCTCCTAAAGGTCTACATTTTCTGTCAGAAAGCAGCAAGAAAATGAGTAAGAAATCCAATGACAGAAATGCACGATGCAGACACCAATGAGAGAGATGCATGGCACTGATTTCCTGTTTAACACCTAATTTATCATCTTTCATCGAGTTAGAACTAAAAATTCTTTGGAGTAAGAACTCTTCCTACAATGCATAATCTGAATACAATAAACAAATTACAAAAGCTTAATCACCACGTATTTAGTTGAATTTGTGACAAATTTTCTAAAAGACATAAAATGTAAAGATATTTCTAGCTGGATGAGGGCACTTTGTTTCTCCTGCCTTTCTACTGATTTGTAAACGACCTCACCCAGGGAATATCATCGAAAGAAACCCACCAAACACCAAACGCAGGCCAACTCATTAAATCAGGCCACGAGAGCGACTGGTCTAATAATGCAAACAAGCTTTTCCCTGTTGGTTCCCTTTCACCAAATGTGGAAAAGAACCTCTTACAAACAGCAGCTGCGTGGAACAGACAGACAAATCTGGGGATACTCATTCGTTATCTTGAGTAGCAGAGAACTGCAGAGAGGCTGCTCAGGCAATTCCCCACCCTTCTGCTCCCCTGCCTGCCCTGTGCAAGAGCCCCCGTTTCTGAAAACCAGCTCAATGACTGTCACTGAGCCTGCTGGGAATGACAAACACCACCTAGCACACAGCCAGGTACTGACTCAGCTCTCTGTCTTTTAAAGAATACTGACGTTTGCATCAAAGAGTATTGCTGAGAGCTCAACTATTCCACTGCCTGCTCTAACAGGAGTGGAGGTGCCACAGTGATAAGAGATCTGAGGCAGTAACATTAAAATATATAGCCTGGAAAATCTATCAACTTGTCTCCTCAGACAGTTAAAAATACCAGCCTAGAAGGAAGTACAGAAGACACCGAACATGCTTTTTATTCTTTAGGTCAGACTCCTTGCATTTAATTAACTTTCTAAATTTGAAATAGCACATAAAGCAGTCATACTTCAGTTCTACTCCCTTTCTTGTTTTCTCTGTTTAAAGAACTCGGTGCAGTATAACAAATTTCTCCTTGACCATTACTACAGTGTGCGTCCATGTATCTAATGAATGTAGAGAGACGTTTACTTTTGTATTATCTCTTTTCAGAGAAAAGAGCAGAGGGAATTCAGGAAAGAGAGCCCTGGGTTATGCCAAGGAGATAATTTACCTTTTGTCCATCTAGGTAGTTTCTTTTCTGGAATTATTCCAGATATAAACACATTCATGCTGAAAGTCCTACTATGTTCATCCAGTTCTGGTTTCTGTTCCTTGTCTGGGAAGTACCCAAGTGTTGAGCCAAGTCCCACACATTATCTCCTGGAAAGTCTGTTCTTCCAACCTGGATTTCAAGCTATTAGTTGGCTGGTAAGGGTGCACGCAGTTGCCAGTGTGGCAGACAACACCCTTACATCTCGTCAGGCTGAGAGGTCCTGCTTTCCCGTGCTGCACACCTAACATAGCTGGTTCTGTTCACACAGTAGGACGGGGCTCTTGTCACACGTTGGCTGGACAAAAGATCACTCTGCAGACTGTTTACAACACTGACAACTCTTCAGTGCCCAAGTCAAACACACACTTTATTTCCTACGGTGCAACACATAACGTGCATGGTTATTTCTCACAGGTGTGGCTTAGGTCCTTCTAGCATTCAGTTGCTAGCACAGATCACGCTGAACTATTTAACAGTGCCACTTTTGAGCGGATGCTAAAAACACCTTTCAGTTGTGATGGTGATACCAGGCAGGCATTTAAGCGTTTTTAAATGTTCAGCAAATAAGCAGGTAAGGGAAACCCACCATGCTATGGCTTGAACAGTAACTACAGTGAATATGATTTCATTGTATCTGTACGTTTAGTTAAAGGAAACCTGAATAGCACTCTGGCCTGCATGCCGTTCATCAGTGAGCTCAGTGCACAGCAGCTGGCACTCGACTGCCTTAGATGGCTCCCAGGAAGACAAAAGTTCAGCATAGCATATGCACTGTACAGCTGTGTCAGAGGCAAAAGATAACTGCAATCACTAAGAGAAGTGTTTCATTGTCTACTCCTATTTGCTCATAGCAGATAACATGCAAAACCAAGACTATCACAAAAATCCCATTTACCATCCCCTGAACTTCAGGGATCCAAGTTTTAATTGTGTATTTGAAATTTCTGGGGGAAGAAGGAAATAAAAAACCCTCCACAAATCAATGTCTTCAGCACACACGCTGTTTCAATTAAAAAAAACCACCAGCCTAAATTCCTCAAAATACACTCTGCCAAAATCAGTATTACTTATGTATATGAAAGCATCAAGAACAAAACATCAAGCTACCAAAGCATGCCATATTAATTAAACCTGATAAACACGCATATAGCAAACCCGTATCTTGCCTACAAGACTAACAAACTAGAAAGAAAAGGTTTACATGCTCATGGATTTTTCCCTCACCAGTGAGAAATACATCATCGAAAAGTTCCTAGGTTTCTCACTCTTGGCCAACCTGCAGCCCCACAGCTGCAGTACGCTCCTCCAGGCTTCTGATCAACTACATGAAGCATCTGAAAGAGTAGCAAATGCCCTTACAAATTCATTTACGTTTCCATGTAAGACCGATCTGCTGGGAGAACTCGAGCAACTGACACCATGCAGCCAACATGTAACGATGCTCAAAGATGAGGGTGCACTTCAGAAGTCCGTCGCAGCACTCAGTAAGCACCAATCCAACCCCAGAAGGCTCAAGTGGAATTTACAAAGCTGCATTCAGTGACCTGCAGACCACTTGAAGCAGCCTGCTCCCACTCCTCAAACAGGCACAAGTTTTACACAGCATCTTCATCTAGCAGTGCTCAGAATTAGTGTGGGACAATTAGTGCCTTAGTACGCCATGATCCCCTTGACACAGAACACACAACTGGGGGGAAGAAAGCCAGCTCTCATTCAAGATCTCCATCTGTATTTGTACAGCTGCGGACACAAATCAGATGAATGCTCTCTTTCAGAAACAGCAGCATCCAACTGAAGGCTTTCAAAACAAGGGTTTACTACAATCCACTTAAGCATGTAAAGCAGATGCTGGGTTATTTTTAGAGCTACCAACATTTGTTCTCTGCTTTAACTCCCATCGCCAGAAAGAAAATGCGGATGAAAGCAGTGTTTATTCTCTCATGATCCAAAATTCAGGGATCTATATGGAGCCATCCCAACAACAATAAAGCGCTTCAGTATGAATTTAATTTGACATTCCGAATTACTTGCAACTACACAAAGCATGAACCATCTCAATCTGTTAACAAGACTTCACATTTCCTTCTTCAGAATAACAATAATGACAACCCTATAAAGCTCCTGCTTGCTACATACAGCCATCCTTTACTCAGTCACTGCCAAACACAAACTGTTCTTTTGAATACTATTCTAGACCCTGACAAGTGCTGCGAGTTGCACATTAAATCACACACCAAAGCACCTCCAGAAATCTCACAGAAATCATTTAGTCCAAGGAAACTAAAACAATCACAAACAATAGCACGTACAACCGTCCTGATACCATCCAGCTTCTGCACACACTCACCTGAAATGTTGGCAGTAGATCACTTTTTCCAAGCAAAACAGGCAGACACTACTGCAGAAACCTGAATTCAGCTGCAGCTTAGCGTTTCCTATGTATTTATTCTGTTCTAGGCATCTCTCATCAGAAACGAAAGAAAAATACAACTTGCACTCTCAACTAGGCTTGTCTAAACTGCCCAGGAGGGTTACCTCAGACACGTTTTAAAGCCATCAGCAGTACCAGTACCAGCCAAAACATAATTCTCCACTATTTGTAATAACCATTCTACATATACAAGTGATTTGAAACTCGGTGTTCTGCTGTGGCAGCAGGAAGTTTCTTGAGCTTTGCTCCAGAAAGATGCCAGAAGTAATTTGGTCGTTGTGTTAACACTCCCAGCTGGTCCACAGACATTAGGAGGAAAATCTAAATCCCAGGAAGAGATGACCAAGGGAGGGGGCACTCCTCTTGCTGCCTTTGACATGCTTGAATGAGCGTCTTGATGGAAAAAGCCTTCAGAAGTTTTCCAAATGCATGGGGGTTGAAGTTTTTTCAAGGCTTTTCTTCCTTCAGCCTTTCTAGAAGTCTAACAGTTACAGCTGCTGCAGCCATCTACGGGTGACTCAAACAGCAGAATGAAGTGTTTCTTCACTGATCTGTATTTTGTAAGAGGTCCTACATAATTGATTGCACACCTACTTATTGCACCTTGGTAAATGAATATGCTTTCGCTGTAAGGAAAACTACATCCCATTAGTAAGTGACCCAGTATCACCAGTAAGCAGAAATCCTGACAGAGCCCCCTACAAGCAGACAGAAGAGCTTTCCTTCTAAAACATTTTGAGCGCTCTCTCTTTACGCACAGATAAGCGGCTAGGAACCAACAGTACCAACCTTCACAAGACCAAGGCAAACAGAGAAAACTCTGCAGTATTGTCAAGTTTCAACAGGCTTAGCTCCAAGATGGATTACTACATTTATGCATTTAAAAAAAAACCAACCAACAACCTGGTATGAAGCAACAGCACAGATCAAGACCCTGTTTGACCTCACCCACGCTGTCGCTTTCAGTTCTGACATATTTTTAAAGTCCTTGTCTTTATACAAATCTAACCATTCATAAAACTGTGATTAGTTCTTAGCTTGAATTGACTGGCACCATAAAACAGATAAAAAACATAATACACTTAAAAACTTAGAAGTACTAATCTGTTATAGAGAGATACGAAATAATCCAGACAAACACAGAAACTTTTACCAATTTAGTTACACGTATATATCTATACGTACAGTTTCATTTAAAAAAAAGTAAAATCCACATAGCCAGCCTATAAATTTTCTCACGGTAGAGGGTGGCTACAAATACTGGGGAGCGGTGTGCACAGCTACTTCTGTGCTCTGCTCTGCAGGAGACACTAACAACAGAACTACCTCAGTCTCTGCTCACTTGCGGAGCAGTCAAATCACCAGTTACAGGGGAAGGATCAAACTGCAGCTCAGAGACACAGCACAAGAAAGTGTCCCAGAATGAGCACTAGTGCTGTTTGGTGACTGCCACTGCCATTCTAAAACAGAGGACACCTACCCGATGTTCTGTCAGTCTTCAAGCAGTTTTATCAACAGGCATAATTAAATACAGACGTCACTAAGACAGACAGCTCACAAGATACAGAGTACATAAATCATGACAAAGTTTAACACGTGGTTTCCTTGTTACCTTGCACCGTAAGGAAGACTGACGCTGTGGTAGATCCACCCTCATTAGAAGCAATGCAGTCGTACTTGCCAGCGTCCGTGAGCTTTACAGGCTTCACCTCTAAAGACAGGTTGCTCAGCATCCTTATTCGCAGGGGGTCCTTCAGCCTCACATCCCTGCCACTTTGCTGCCAGGTGAGATTGTAACGCACCGTGCTCAGAGCGAGGCAGGTCAAGATGGCTCCTTCACCAGGGACAGCCGTGACATTGTTAGGAACCTCAATCATGGGTGGGGGCTCTGCGGAAAGAGAACAGAATCAAGGACAAAATTATATCAGAAAGATCTGGGAACCTTTGCTTATTTGTGGATTCCTGATAAACAACTTCACGTAAACTACAGAGTAAAAACAAAACCAAAAAGTAATACTGGTTTAAGATTAATTTCACATTATCGAAGCCGTGAACCAGAACCCAGGGCAGCATCCTCATTCCTCGATTGCATCAGCTATCTGACAGCAGCTTACATCACAAGAACATACCTGATTTAAGTCAAAAGCATCGTATTGCGTACGATGAAAATCACATCACGCATGAAAGGGGATGTAGCACTGTGCTCTTTGAGCTCAGCTCGCACTAGGGAAAGCCAACAAGAGATCAGACCACCACAACAGAAGGAAGAGTCAGGACCACCACTGGAGTCTGACCACAAATGGTGCAACCTGAGCAACGCACTAGATTTTTACAGGCTTGCATACTAAAAAAACCCATGTTACTAGCAAGCTCTTCACTAGAAACAGGAAAACAGCTGCTCTAAGTATCATTATTAAGTTCTTTCCATTATTATTTCTATAAGGGAATATGGAAGCAGAGAGCGTCTGTTCCCTTACATTTCCCTCATCAAGATCCTTGCAAATGGGATAAGGGGCAGCAATAAACACAGTACACAGACACAGACCTGACAGACCAGCAATAGCAGAGACAACAACAAACAACAAACTTCATCACACTAACTTGATGGGCTATCAAGAAGCTACCAACTGAGAAGGACACAAACCTGGGGGTTCCAGATATGGAGTGGGTGGGCGGAAGCCGTCAAACTACGCAAACTGATAAAGGAATATGCAGGGGAAGTGAATCAGGGAGGAGCACAGGGGCATAAAAGGGGACTGTTGCATGTAAAACATCACCAGTCAGTTCTTTTGTCTGACTGAGCCCCGTGCTCAACCACCACAGTCTGTCCTGTCTTCTTATGAAGTCTTTTTTTAACTCTCCATCTGTGTAATTTCACTCCCTATTGCTTGTATGCATGCCCTGCAAGGACTAAGTGCCGGCTACTGTGGGAACTGGTTTGAGCTGAGTGAGTGCCAGCTACTGGAAACAGACCAGGGGGTGGAGGCACCCTCGCCTGTGGCATCAGCTACTGGAGGGACTGGGGTGTGAGCACCAGCTACTGGAGCGGGTGAGGATCTCGGGCAATTCTGTACCTTCCCCAAATCAAGCATACGCAGGGTATGTGTGTGCAGTTTGTTAGCAAACTTCAAGCTAAAACAACTGGCAAGAAGCAGCTTAAGAAGGCTCAGGATCTGGGCAGGGGTACTGGGGGGAGTGAGAGGCCATGCCAGTACTAAACACGTGTATGTCTCTAGAGAGCAGTGCGTATGTCCTCCTGCCAGTGAGCTTCAAACCTTACCAGCCAAAGAGAAGGAGGAGAGTTGGCTATCCTGTGCTTTGTGCAAGTCCCACAGGCAGCTGCTGCCAAAGGCAGTAAATGTCTGCAGAGCTGGCTGTGTCAGTGTCCTCCGCGGGTCTGAGATACATTCCCAGTTTCACTGCTGACAAACGTGTAACCAGGAAAGCAGCAGGAGTGTCCATGGTGTGGGACAGCGACCTGCAGGTCCCTGGGCACACAGGGCTGAGCTCCAGCAGCCAGGCAGGAGGAATTCCTAGGCCAGAGCTGCTCTAGGCAGCAGACACCTACAACATCCCTTAACACGCACTGCTCAAATCTTGGGTAACATCAATACATTTTCCTTCCTACCTGTACATATTTATGTTGTAGCTTCCCACTATTTCTTATTATTTGCTTTCCACTCTACTAATCTGTACACTTCTACCACACTCCTGGAAAAAAAGCAGCTGTAATATCTACTGGAATTAAACTTTGAAACCACAGATGCTTGAAATAGGAGCAGTCACCCTGATCCTTCTTGAGATATCACTGATAAAGGAACCAACATTTAAGTGTTAGAGAAAAAAAAATATACTGTTTCACTTTATGCCCA